ACGACGCGCCAGACCTTCCTACGTACCCCAGAAAGCTGACAGGCAATTAGATCCAGTGAAGGGAGCCGTGCTGGGAGAGCAAAGGAAGGCTCAGAAAGGCAGGGGAAGCAGGTCTTTATGTACCCACGCTCAGGGATCAGGCAGCAGGGCTTCGTGGAGAACATCACACGGGACCTTACAGGATGTTCCTTCCCCTTACAGGTCGTGTCCTTCCATCTCCCGTGTCCGCAAGGCAGGTTGCAGTGTGGGAACAAAGAGCTATAGGGATTTAAAGCTGATATCCATTGCTTCCTGCAGGAAAGGGCAGGCAGCTTGCAGGTGGATAGCACTGAATGAGCCACTTCAGAGCTTCACAGGAGCTCTGCTCGCTGGACCATGTCCCAGGGGCTCTGAAGCAGCTGAGCTTTTCACAACAGGAAAGGAGCTGCTTGTGGGAGAGGAGAGAACTGAATTGGAAAACGCCGTGACCACAGCGTAGCCTTGGCCATGGAGGAAGCTACTGCACTTCACTCCAGGCACTTCCAAGTGGCTGGAGTTTCCAGGACAGTTGAATTCAGAAGGAGCAGATCTGGGGGAAGGCTGGGGAGATAAATCCAGGAATAGGCTTTAATTTCAAACCTACAGCCTGACCACAGGACCTGGCAGGCAGAGGTGACCTCCAAGGGTGTGATATTTCCACAGATTCATCCTTTTCCTCTAAGCAGTGATTCCCCTGGCAGCTTGCACAGCTAAAGGCAGGGAGCCAGCTCTCACCCCCAGCCCCACCATAAGAGCTCATGGTAGAAGGGGCAAATTGTGAGTGGCTTCAAAAGAGAGGGACACCACAGCATGGAAAGGGAGCACGGCAGAGGAGCCAGGAGCTCTGAGCATCTCCCAGTGATGTCTTGGTGGCCTGAGAACCTTCCTGATCTAGAGGTGCCATCCTGGTGTCTCAGACATCCCCTTTGCTCACCCCACCACCCTCGATCAGCAGCCCCACCTTCACAGGTGACAGCAGCAGTGGGATGGAGACAAACCTTCACCCCTGTCTTTCCCCCTCCTCATCCATCCACACTACAGCTCCGTTGTTGAAGTCAACATAAGGGGGGAGGCAGGTGGTTTCCTCTTCCTTGTGCCAGCAGCTGCTGTGTTGACAATGAAAAGCCCAGGAGGAATCAGCCCAAAGCTGTGAAGTGTGGGTTTGGTTGGGGTTTTTTTTTCTCTCTCTCACAAATAAAAGTCCATTAATAATCAGCAAAGCGTTTAATGAGAAGCTAGAAGGTGTTCTCAGCATTAAGAGGGGATTAAGGGTAATCTTCACTGCTCATGCCTCCTTGCTGCGCAGAGGCGGTTCTGACCTGCTCTTGCCAAAACAGCCCAAGGTGGGTAGGAGTGAGGCAGGGCTGGGGGAGGCAGGACTGCGACTCACCTGAGGAAGGGTCCCTGTGGGAAGGAAACGAGACACAGTTTAAGCAGGATCAGTTTTGAAGCAGCCATTCACATTTAAAAATCATCACGATTTCCTTTTAACCGGGGCTCCCCCTTAAAGAGAGGGCTGCACCTTCTGCTGGCGTGAAAACAAGAGCGTCTTTCCATCCCAGCACACAGCTCTAACTCCAGTCTGGCCAAACAGATCCTCTGCTGGTTTGCAGTGTGTGATTTGCTCCAGCACACATCACTGGGATCAACCTGAAGTGCTAGACCAGAAACCTTGTCCCATATGGGTCCCTTACAGACCAGACAGGGGATGTGCTGGCCTCAGCATCTCTGGAGTAAACCTGCATGAGGAAGGTTTGATGCACAGCGTGTTCCTTGTTTTCTCACCCGCAGCGGAGAGGGACCAGCCCCTGGGACCATCCCACCCTCTGTGCCCACTCCCAGAACACCAGCAGCTTCCCTGGCTGCTGCAGGCACAGAAGCCAAGTTCCCAGGAGTTGTATATGACTCTAAAACAAACCAAACAGTTGGATTTGACCCTGCTAGAGATGCCGACCCCCTACAGCCAGCTGGGAAACAGAAATGGCACCTTCTCCACCTGATCTCAGTCAGGCTGGCACCGCAAAGAGCCGCAACTGGCCCAGGGAGCCAAAAACGGGGTGGAATATCTTGGAACAGTGATTAGATTTTAGAAAGTCATGATCTCATCATGCATCTCCTGGGAGCAGGGAGAAAAGCATCCTCACGGATTAAAATTTGGGTTCCAAATTATTCGCTCAGCTCTGGGAGCAGGACACTCATTTTCCTGGCTTTGTCTTTCTGTCAAACACTGGGCTTAATTCTCTTCTCATATCATTTTTATGCTGGTTTGACACCACTGATTTATGTGTAGCTACTCCTAATCTGTGGTAGTGGAAGGAAGGGCACGCTCAGATCTGCTGTCCTAGATTTTACTGTCTTCAGCCACCCCGTCTCTCTCTCAGGTGTTACTACCAAGGGGGTTTTCTAGAGTGCTCGAGTGCTCTGGACCATCCACACCAGCTGATTTCTTCCCTCCTACACCCAGACCTGCTGTGCAGGCTCCAAGCACTGGATTCCAGCTTGGCCAAGTGCTTCTCTTCTGCCCCACAGCCCTCTACCCTCTCTCACCAATTCCCAGAGAGGTTGTTTCCTCTTCTTCTCCAGATCTGCAGGGTCTCCCCTATTCCCCCAGTTTTAAATCAGGAAACTTAGACATTTTTATGCTCTGCCCCCCTCAAGGTCACAAATTTCACAGGGGATTCATGGCCATGTGCAATGTGCTCTGTGACTGTTCCCTCTTCCCAGCCTGAAGGTTTTTCCCTGGACAACTCTGCTCTCTGTTCCTATGGGGTTAATTCATCTCTTTTCCAAGGCCTCCTCAACCTAAGCTGGGTAAATCAGTGGTAGCTCCTAAAAAGAATTTAGCTCCTAAAAATATCCAGGCAAGACAACCACGCCAGGATTTAACTGTACAGCTGTACTTTGAGAAGGGCGAAGTGCCTGGCTGCAGCTGGAGACTGTTTTGTCTCCCATCTCTCAGCTCCGTCATGTCCTCCGTATGTTCTAGCAAATTCATCAGGCATGACTCACAGACCTTCCCTGTCCACATTCCCATCTGCTGACTGCCCCTTCCTAAAATTAGACCCTACTCTTGTTGGCACACGGGTACAGTCACGGGAGAAGGTGAGGAACTGCAGACCCACGTCCCTTCCTTGTGTCACAGCAGGGAGCTGAGTCCAGGAGGGACCGATGTTCAGGCTGAGGAGGATGATCTGTCTCCCCTGCTTGTCCTTGGCCCTGCTGCTGCAGCAGAGGGTGAGGTTGATAAGATAAATGTTTCTGTTCTCTGAGAGCTGGCTGGAGACCACTGCCTCATTTCATTAAGGCCATCCCCTGAGAGATGAAGTCAATACTGACTTGATCATCTACTCCAGAGCAGAAGGACACCTCCCTCTATGAAAACCTCAGACCACAATTGCTTGCTGCTCCTCCTTCAGAAGCCCCAAATTCATGTGAACTTAGCCACACACCTTTCAGTGACCTTTTTGCTTACTGAAGGACTCCCTAGAACCAGTCTGGGTCCCAACAGCTTGTCCAGACATCCTATTCCTAAAGGTCTCACTGGTGGATGTGGGTCTCCCACCTGCCAGAAAAAGGAGCTCAGAGGGCTGGACTGTGGGTGTTGTTTAGGGAGAAGAGAAAGGAATAAGGTCATCGCTCTGCTAAGTGTAGAACAGCACTGACCTTCTGCTGGGGAATTTTGTGCTCCTGCTATTTCCTCTGTTCCCAGGGGATCATTCACCGGGAGTGAAGTCAGTCGTTAGGAGACACTGACACTACAACTAGAATATTTTCAGCCACACTCAGGCGGCTGGGACGGATGAGAAACCCAACAAGTGTTACTGGAGACGCGCACACATGCGTCCTTCTTTTACTGTTGAGCTCAGCCCCAGCCCCAGAAGGGCACTGCTGTGCCATGGTCACAAAGCTGTGGAAGTATTGCTCTCTGATGAGAGTAAAAAAATTAAAATGACTCCTCCTCACCCTACTGATCTCCTGGGGGTGGTTGGAGTTGGTAATCTCCTGGCAGTCTCGTTAGCATTTACTGCCTTCGGGGTTGGGGGACAAGCTGGAGATTGTGAATTAAATTTGACCAGAGGAGAGAGAACAAGAGTCTAACGTGCTGCACAGAGCACTGGAATGATCGTACCAAGCCTGGAAGGTAAAACGTTGCCCCTGAGATGCCAAGAAGGGCTTTTCACTGCGCAGATCCCTTGGGAAGAGGTTCCCAGTGAGGGTGTGGAGGAGCCCAGCTGGTACATCAAAGCCCACCTTTCCTCAGCGAGGCTGGCAGCTCCGCAGATCCAACCTGCAGTTGGAAACTCAGCTGTGCTCTGGAGTTGGGAATAAAACACGGAGCCTCGAGCTACTGCTTTCATGGCCTGCCCTTTTCACATCACAATGGTCCCTTGGTGCTGTGGTAGCAGGTTCTGTCCTGTTAACTGCGAGTGGATGGTTGCTGGATGTCCTCCAACCATCTGAGAGACAGCCCATCAGCCACAAAACATATCATATAAAAAAAAAAATCCTGTCAAACTAACAGGGAAAAGCAAAAGAAACACTCCCATTTACTACTCCTGAATTCCAAACCTCCCGAGTGCTCATCAAAGCATTCCGGTTTCATACTTCCACGGCAGAGCTTGCATTTCCTCCCAGCTGTCGCTGTCAGACCGTAATAGGAAACAACAGAGCAGACGTGGTACGAGGCTGGGATGGATGAGATGAGTGAGCTACTCGGTGGTCTGCTGTGTTGTCAAAAGAAACTGTTCCCAAGGGTCAGATCTTTCATCTGTGTCTAATGCAGCTCATATTCTCAGCAGAGATCTCCTAGAACCCCACTGGTAATTGAGACATGGAGTACCTGCAGTTTGCAGGTCCCACACCCAGAACCATAGACAGGAAGGACCATGAATAAGGTCCTTCCCCACTCCCTTCCTCGCCCTTGCTCTGTCTCCTGCCTCTGGCTTTGCCCCATAAAGGCTCTGCTCTCCCTCCTTGCAGACAGCCCGTCGGCTCCAGTAAATGTCACAGTCAAACACCTGAAAGCCAACTCAGCCGTTGTGACTTGGGATGTTCTGGAAGATGAAGTTGTCATTGGATTTGCGATTTCCCAACAGGTACGGTGCCTACAGTTCCTCAGTTTTGATCACGTTCATCTTCACCCCAGGTCCTCTCAGTTTCCAAATTCTCTTGCTGCAGTTTAAGCCCATTCCTTCTCGTCCTGTCCCTCGTGGTCTGGGAGGGGACTTGGCTTCCCATCCTCTTTGCAGCAGCTCTTCATGTATTAACTAGTAGCTGCAGAGAGGAAAGGGTCCGACGGTCTCCATGTCCGTGGTGGACAGGGCAGGAAGCAGTGGTCTTAGATGACAGCAGTGCACACGGGAGGCCTCTCCACCACTCTGTGCTCTCCTCTCTCGGCTTCCAGAAGAAGGACGTGCGGATGCTGCGCTTCATCCAGGAGGTGAACACCACCACCCGCTCCTGTGCCCTCTGGGACCTAGAGGAGGACACTGAGTACATTGTGCATGTCCAGTCCATCAGCATCCAAGGCCAGAGCCCTGCCAGTGAGCCAGTCCTCTTCAAGACCCCCAGGGAAGCTGAGAAACTAGCCTCTAAAAATAAAGGCAAGTGTGGGTGAGTTCCTGTGTGGCCCCTGGGACGCCCAGGCAGCGTAGGGCTCTGCAGAGAGGAAAGCAGTATCCTGAGCAATGAGAACACTGAGGTGAAGCACACACAGGGCTGAGTGTCCCCTCACAGTCCCACATGGACAAGTGGTCCCTGAGCGTACCCAGCAGACAAGGCTGATGGGTGCACAAAGCCATAGGGAGATGCTTCCAAATGATGTTTGTCCATTTCTCCCATTTCAGATGAGGTTTAACAGACAAAGTGAGAAGGAGAAGGCTTCCAGCTCAGGAGCAGTGTGTCCAGCATCCTTGCAACTGGAGAATGCCAGGAGAAATTCCTGAGCAACCTGTGAACTCATGTGGAACTAGACCCCTGGATGGCACTGGGCACAGCACTGTTGGGCTCACAGGGCACTCGGGGAGATTTGCTCAGCCTCCTGTGCTTGGATTCCAGGACAGTAGGGGGGAAAAAATATCCAGAGCCTCAGGCTTTTCTTACATTTAAAATGATTCTGCCAAAGCACAGAATCACAGAAAGCTGAGGTTGGAAGGGACCTCTTGAGATCACCTAGTCCAAAGCCCTGCTCAAGCAGGGTCAACTAGAGCAGGTTGGCCAGGATCACATCCAGTTGGGTTTTGAATATCTGTCCATGGAGGAAATCAGGCACTTCCTCACTGGCAACTCCTTCACTTGTTCCTCTTAAACCAAACCAGATTGTTGAAGGTTTTCTGTCAGCAAGAATCTCTGCTACACAAAAGGGCCAGGGAGTACAGAGGTCTGGGGTGTAAAGGGTTACTCCCTGCCTACTGAGGACCCAACCTGCTACAGGGCTTTTGGCCATGGTTTCCAGGATGTTGTGAGCTCTTGACTCTTTCTGCTAAAATGATTTGGTGTCTGTAAATACTGAATCGCTGTTCATCTGAAAGCACTAAGAGGAACACTGCTTCCCTCCCTGGAGGCCTGAACTGTAATCGTCTTAGTGCTTTGAAGCCAAGGAGGTACCTTACGCCCTGCAAAAAGGCTCTACTCATTTCTGAATGGCTCCACTGAAAAATATCATGCCAGGCTCCACACTCCTGAGCTGGGAGAGGAACCGCTGAAGCATGCAAGGCTTTGTGACAGGCGCAGACGGCACGAACAGAGACCAGGGAGAGAGCAGAGCGAGTCACCATGGGGCCGAGATGACACATGGACTTACCCCATGGCAGCTCCTCTGCAGTAACTGCCTGTTGCTCCTCTCTCACTGCCTCTCCCTCATCCCATCTCCTGCAGATTGTCAGGGGCAGTTGCTGCAGAGCAGCTGATGCTCTGCAACTTCAAATCGCAGCTCGTGCTGCTGGTGTGAGCGACGGGTGAGGACCCAGCTAGCTTTGACCTTGGCACACTGACGATTTGAGTCAGTGACACCAGTGTCTAGCACAGCCTGAGCCACACAGTTCAGTTTCACCATCTCTCTTTCCCCTTGTGCAGATGAGGTGACCATGAAGGAGATGGCGAAGAAAAACCAACAGCTGCGAGCGGGGGAAATTCTCATCATTGTTGTGGTGTTGTTTATGTGGGCAGGTCAGTTCCATCTTCCTGTCGAAAGCACCTAATATCCCCAGGGCCTGCTGGTTTGCTTGGTTTGCACATGTAATCATGTAAGACCTGAAAAGAAACCTTTCCTCCCATGAAGAGGACTGTCCCTTCAGCTGTAAGGGCACCTCGGTTCCCTCTGCAGCATCACAAGTCAGGCAGTGCCAAAAGCAGGTGAATCAGTCGTCTGATCTGGTACAGCAGGAAGTAGATAATGGGCTTGATGAACGAATTGCCTAATTCACCATGGCTAATCCTATAATCTCAATTTTTCCAGAATGCACTGATGATAATGCCCTCAGCCATCCCACAGGATGCCTCGAGCTCTTCAGATGATACAGGTCATTGTAATTATCTGGCTATTACATGACTCTGACTCTCATGCAAAACAGAAATGTAAAAAGTCTTGCTTCCAACACCCACTATTATATATACACTAAAACCCACTTCAAAATCAATTAAAATAATGGAAACATTGAAAGAACAAATGGTCCAAGACATCCAAACACCAATAAAACCAGATCCTCTCAACATCCACTGTTAAAATACAATTAATGGTATTTGCCAGGAAGAGGAGGGACATTAGCAGAAACATATTAAGTAAAGGAAAGAAAAGTCTACACAATCTTGGGATGGTGGGAGGAGGAAGGTGACCAGCATTAGCTGAAATCTGCTATCCAAAAAGATGCTTTGGAGCCAAACCTTTGGCAATTTAAAAAAAAAAATTCCACTCCAGTCCTCCTTACACCTCGCAGACACTCATCTCTTTAAACCAAGAAGAAAGCTCTGCTACAAGACAGCTGCTGTAGTATATCAGCAAAAACACGTGCCCAGCTGCAGCTGAGAGCACCTGGTGTTTGGGGAAATGCAGTTCCAAAGAGAACCAAGAGTTTTCTGACATTAATTTCAGGCCACATTTCAATAGACCTAACAGCAAATTGTACCTAAAACAGATCTTGCTCGTATTCTTTAAACCAGGAAACAGGGAGAAAATGCCTCTGAGCCAGGTTCCATCAGCTTAGCATGTCTGAAGCGGCTGCAGCCAGCCCTTCAGCTTGTTCAGTTTGGAAATTACATGCATGAGTTAATGGGAAATAAAGTTTGCACATGTTTGTTTTCTATTTAGAGCCCCAGCCTCCCCTGGCTGCCAGTCAGCTGCTGCTCCTGCTGCAACCGAGAACATTAATGAACCAACATTTGCTCCCTGCGAGTTACAGAGCACACTGCCCAAGGGGGAACGGTGCAGGTGACCCAAGGAAATTGGCAGGAAGGGAGATTAGCACTATAGTAAATCTATGATCCATAAAAGAAAACCTTTGCCATTCATTATTTAATCATCTTGTCCCATTAAAACCACTTTTCCATGCACAGTGTGGAAACAGTCACAATGGGATTCGGCCCATTTATACAAGATTCTTCTGAGACACCTCCAGGGAGAGATGTGAAGAGGGAACCAGTCACTGCTCCGAGACCTGTCACAAAAAGGGATTCACTGTGTCCTGCACAGCTCTGCAAAGTTTCTTACAAGTGAATCCAGGTGACACAGAATCAGATCCATGTATAATCATTTTTTTTTTCCCCCTGGGAAGTTCTGAGTTTACCACGTTATTTGCATTTCCAGAGACTGGGCAGCAATTATTGATAAAGATGATAACCAAATGAAAACCTAAACTAACTTACAAGCTTTCCAAAACCTCTAGTCTATGATCTTTTCAGCATTTATGTCAAGTTTTAGCTGTGCACATTCAAATTTAAATGCCCTGACAGTAAAAACAATCATGAATAATTACACAAAGTGACTGAACAACTGATTCATCTCCCACTGTAGCATCATCTAAAACTCAGATCAAGGTCTGAACAAAGAATTTGCTAATACCACAATTTCCCTTCTAGACAGATGACTTACATTTAAAAAGGAAAGTGGGCGGCAGGGAGGGGAAATCTCTCAACATCTAGTGGGTTCTTTACACATTCTCAACATATAAAAACCTGTTTCCAGCTCTTGACCTGGCCTGGCCATAACCTGAATGTGTGATGATATTTTAGCAAACACAAACACAAACTGGAACCAGTCTGTGCCCAGGGCTCTGAACTGAGACAAGACCTAAGCTGTTTGTCTTCCTGGAATTGTTCACAGCACTTTTGCTGCTCTGTGCCTGAGTTTTACCATCAGAAATCAGAGAAGGTGTGAGCGTGGCAGATGTGAACCTCGTCTCCCAGGATTAGCCATTTGTTCACATACTAAAGGAAGAATTTAGACCCCTGTGTTTATCAGTAACACCTGGGGGCAGCTGCCAGAACAACACCTCGCTTTTTATAAAGCACTTTGTGATGATCTGGTGAAAACTTTACATATGTTTTGTTATTAGGGGAGCTGGAATATTTTTCAGTAAGGGAGAAACAGCATTTGCCAGGGTCTACTTAACCTCTGTGTTTGGAATCTGCAGGCAGAGAAGTTCTTTGGACAAAAAGTCACCTAAAACCTTCCACGGAAGATATTTGCAGTCATCTTCTGTGTCACAGCTGCCCCTGCTTTTCCCCTTCGTGTGCCTGCATGTGTGGGAGGAAATTTCCACTGGCAGCTTTTGCTGCCGTCACTGTTGCGTATCTGCAGATGTTGTCCTGCTGCTCAAAAGGCCCTGGCGTGTATCACACGCAGGCAGGTACCGTACCTGCCTCTCATCCACCAGCTCCTCCTCTTCACCCCAGAGGACAAAGATCAGAGGACACTTTTTTCACAAACCAGAAACTCCAGGAGCTCCTGTGTTTCCAAAGCAAAGATCCTATTTAACTGCACTTTGAGTGTGGATTGCTATCCAAACGTAGGGCTGAAAACACTTGTCTCATTTAAAGACAGGGAAGTCGGGATATAATTAATCTTCTGTCCTTCTAACTAGTTTAGCATGGAATTTAGGCATTGAGGAAGGAAACAGCCAGAGGGCTGAGGAACTGTGTTAGAAAATGATCCTTAGAAAGGATTGTGAATGCTGCTGAGATCTCTACCAGAAGGCACAAAGCCAGCTGGCAAGCAAGGGATCTGTGATCTCTGCAGGCTCCAGGGGCTGAGCTCATTTGTGTGATCACTAATGCTTTTTCCTGTTAGGGGTGATCGCCCTGTTTTGCAGACAGTACGATATCATCAAAGATAATGAGCCAAATAACAGCAAGGAGAAAGTCAAGAGCGCCTCGGAGAACAGCACTCCCGAGCACCAGAGCGGAGGGCTCCTCCGCAGCAAGGTGAGATGCTGCTGGCATGCAGTGGGGGAAAGGGCAGACAATCAACTTCCAGCTGAGCCTCAGCTCAATTAACCAAAAAGCAGCTTCTATTAAACATCCTCACACCAGCTTCCTCCCTCCAGCTGGGATGCAGACAGGAAACACGCCTTCACATCCACACATGCCAGTAACACGGCTTCCTCGGTGCTCTGACACATCAGGACACCAGCAATTCCCTCCCACCTCTGGATTGTAGCCTGTGTGTCCATCAGCAAAACAGATTTCAGTCTGTATTTCTGAAATACCCAAACATCTCTGGAAGAAAAATGCACTGAGCGCTGCTGCAGTCCCTGAGCTGCTTGAGTCCTTACCCCCCAGCAGCACATAGGTGGGATGTGGTGATGGGGAAATTACTCTTGCAATTAACTGGAGAGCTGATCAGCAGGAGCATGCCTGGTAATACACGTGATGTTAAAGGTATGCCATATCCACAGTGCAAGCAGACTCAAGCCTGTAATTTATACCAACTTACTGCAATTAATTTAACTTCCTTGTGTTTCTCTTCACAACTTGCACTCTGGCACATCCCCACCACTTCACATTTACTTATTATTTTTAAGTAGTCCACTCATTCATGCTCACTCAGAAGCAGAGAGTGATGAACCACACAACCCTAACACCTCAGCTCTGGCCCTTTTTCATCATCCTGAGGGGATGGGGACAAGAACTTGTACAAAAATAAAAACTGACCAGCACACTGCACTGATCCCTGATGTAGGGGTTTTTTTCCTCTCTAGCACTTCCTATACATCCTCTCTTCCTTTGTCTCTTCTTCTAGTTTCCAAAAAACAAGCCCTCAGTGAATATCATTGAAGCGTGACAGCCTGCCACCTGATAGATGGACTCCATTCCTCACTCTCACTTTCTGCCTCTGAGCCTTGATGACTAGGGAGGTGAAATATTGTTGGAGCAATTTGGGAGGAGACCTAGCGATTGTCACTTGCTGACATACACCTCCTTGTCTGTGTTCTGCAAAACATCTGGCCAGAAAGAAAAATCCTGCAAAAAAAAAACCCAACAAAACCCTGAAACCCAAACAATTAAGATGGAAAAGCATCAGTGAGACAGCTGCTGCCGCTGATCCTCTACTGGACTCATGAATCACCTGGGCTGGAGCAACTTCTCACACGCTCCTCTCCACCCTCACACTCCGTCTTCTGGAAGTTTTCCTGTCTTTGGAAATGTACAAGTTTTGGTTGTATCTTTATTTTGTCTCACTGTCACTACATCTTGACAGTATTAAGGTGAGCTCAGGCATCAGTCACTGTCACTCCTCTCCAAGCAAGAAAGGAGGAAAGCTCATCGCAGACACGACTAGCAACCAGATTTGGGCTGCTGTGTGCTCTCAGCTTGCTTTGTTCCATTGATGTGTGTTGTGTAACACGTCTTGCATGGGTTTTTTAAAGAAAAAAAAAAAAAACAAAACATACCCCAGTTTCCATTCCCACTGCTAGAAGTTCTCTGGTTGTTCTCCAGTTAGGTCACAGCACATCTCCACTGTTGCTGTCTCTCCTATCTCACACTGGTGCTCTTCATCTCAGATAATTGGGCACATCGACCACTGAGGAACAGACCAATATAAGGGGACACCAGAAGCTGTTATTTTCTGTAATAATAATTTCAGATAATTTCAATCATTTTCTTCATGGTATTTTCAGCTGGGCCTGAGTCCACCATTAGTGTGATAAAAGGTCCATAAAAATGTAGCCAGTCAGCAAAAAAAAAAGATAAAAAAAGATAAAACTCACGATACCGGTTGCTATGCAAGGTCTGCAGGGGCAATAGCTATTTATTGTGAAAGGCTCTTGCCTAAGGGACCTTTTTCTGAGGGCTTAAGTTCTTCAATTGCTTCTTTTAGTAGGGTTCCTGTGGGAAGGTCTGGTTCTCCTTGCACGTCCCGTCTGCACTATTTTTGTGACGTTAGACTGCCAGGTATCTGCTGGAGGCAGCCCTCCATACAAAGGATGATGATGATGGATGGGAAAGGGGTTTGGGTTCTCCTCTCTCTTATTAAGTGCTTGATGTTTGTAAACTGACAGGATCCCTGGGATTGCTGGTGCTCTGGAAGCTGGTAGATACAAGTCCATCACATGGAAAAGATTTACTCTTTGTTGTTTGTTATGGGGTATCTGTATTTATTTAATTACTCCACAAGACCACTCCATATGCACTAGGGGATGAGGCAAGATCCAACTTGTTCCATCAAGTACCAAGACAGGTTGGCCTGAGTAGAGTTTGAATCTCATTACAACAAACCTGCACTCAGATAAACCTGGTTTAAAAGTCTCTGCAAAGAGACAGGCTGGCGGTAACCAAGTTCAGCCATCTCTCCTCTTCCACTGTCACCAGCCTTTCCAAAATAGCTAATCTGGGAGAAAGGCACTAGGAAGTCTGCTTGCAGATGTGTTGGTGAACAAGCAAAGGCTTCCCTTGTGCCAGTTTCAGAAAGCAGGCCAACCCTAAAGGTCTCTTCAGTGGATCCTTTGCCAGAACATACTCCTCCATCACCACGAGGGAGAGGTCAACACCTCTGATACAGACAGAGCAATAAACATTTTATAATGTACAATAAAATATTAAAGGCATCTCTTGTGTCCTCGTAATGTCTGAATTTAGTAATATTTCATCTTCACCTGCTTGGAGCAGAACACACACACTAGAACAGGGGGATTTTCTCCGTATTTCCCAGAAACTACAGCATAAAATGTTTTCTCGGTGTCAGGATGCAGAAAGCCAAAGAGGTTCACCAGAGTTCACTCTGGCTGCAGGACGAGGGGGGAAAAAAACCCAACCTTGCAACATAAATAGCACTACAGCCATACCTAGTGAGATTCTTCAGACATGTCTGTTATCTCCCAAGACAGAAATGTCATTTGGAATCCATAGTGCTATAAAGGGAGATTTAGGACAGATGGTACAGCATGTGCAAAACGATAAGGGAGATGCTCTCTCATAATCCTGGAGCAGACAGCCAAGCAAGGAGCCCTCAAAAGCCTGCTAGTGAGGAAATTCAGCCTGGTAATTTAGCAGGTTTGTGGGGGTGGAGGGTTATGTGTCTGTTTTTAAAGACAGTTGTCCCTGGGAATTCAGACCATGCCCCCTTTTTTTTTTACAGTATCACTGTTCCCTACGAACAGGTTTAAACTATTTCTTTCCTAACAGAGACGTCCTCACTCAGTGTTTGGCAGAAAAGAATTAACATGTAAAGCATCAGCGTTCACGCAGAGTTAAGTACTCACACCATAATGTGGCAGGAGGTAAAAGGGTTATCATTATGTTCCATAACTGCAGGCTTTAAGAGTAAGGTAATAATGCTATTAGTGAGGAGAAACAAATGGAGGCTGGCAGCAACTCAACTCATCAGAGAGGGACTCCAAGCTATCCAAGTGATTCTCTTAAAGGAAATGTTTTCAGCAACTCTGAATCGATGTCATAAATCCACACTTTAGCAAAAGATGTTTCCCATCATAGGAGAAGAAAGTTACTTAAGATCCTACTTGTCTGAGGGTCATAAACATCAAAGCTTTAATTGTTGTTTCAGTACCAACTTCCACTGTGACCCATGAGACCCATTAAGGCTCTGGGCCTGTGTGACTTCAAACCTAATCCCGTCTTTAGAAGAGATACCTCACTCTCAACAACAGCTGCCAAAAGATACTCCTGAGGTATTTTACAGTCAATAAAGGGAAGAGATCAAGAAAAAAAACACAAAAAAAACCCAAGATAGCACTGAAGAAAGTCACGTAGGGCCAGGGAAGAAGGTACCCTGAAGGCCACCCACATTTCCCCACGTGTTTTTGCCTGGCTGCTGATTTTGAGTGGCTATGGGACTAAGAAAGGGAGGTGTCAATGAATTCTAAAAAGCAGTGAGTGGGAGCGGGGTGGCACGACAGGGATCCCAGAGAGCCCTGTAAGAACAGATTCCCTATTGATCTCAAAAAAGCAAAGGAGAGCAGCTCTCCAGCTGGCTCTGCCAACGCCGTGCAGCCCCCGAGGACTAACCCTGCTGATTTCCAAGAATCAACCAAGCAGAGACTACGGGCACAATAAGGAGCAAGAAGCTGAAAACAGAACCCTTTGCCAACATACGCAGCGCGTGTTTAAAGTTAAGCACCACTTGCCTTCCTCTTTTCCAGCACTGTAATATTATGCCTACATGTCCAATTTAGCCAATATATTCCTCCCCCACGAGTTGAGTAAAATGGAGCTGCAGGAGGCGGTGTGGAGCAAACAAATCCTGCACAGCATGTCCTTCCAATTCACAACACACAGCACCGTACGCTTCTCACCCACCTCCATCCGTACAACAAGCAGCAGCACAAGCTCTGTTCTCTGTCTCCTAAGAGGAAAATGAGAATATTAGGCAT